AAGCTATAAGTTTTGCGTAATTGGAGATATCAACTTTCTCTTTCAATTTAATCATGGTTTTCAACATACTGTAAGTCGACCATAAAGTCGAAGGCTTCTTTTCCTTAGATAATTCGCCAAAATACGCCAACAAAACGGTCTCCGAGGCAGTATTTCTCGTTCCTTTCTGGCTACACCATGCTTCGAATATTTGAAAAGCCTTTTCGTACCGAAATTTGCTTTTTGCTGGAAGCAAACTCTCTCCAATCCTGTCTGCTGCTTCTTTTAATTCAGGTGGGGTACAATCCATCGCTTCATCTTCACTTTCCGAAATCATTTCTTTGGGGAGAACGGGGAGAAATCTAGTGAAAATCTATTATTTCCGCAAAAATACTGAGCGAAAACTACCGTCGTTAAGGCGTTGTTGATCTTATCTGTGATCTTATCTATGGTTGTTGATTTTGCGGTTTCCTGTGGTTTCGTCTTTTGTTTTGGCCTTTACAGGGCCTTTGAGATCGTCAAAATTGATGACATTGACAAAAAAAGTGAAATATTTTTTTCTAAGGCCAGTTTTACACTATATGAAAATTTCGTATAACAGAATCTTTAGTTTTTGCATCAGAAAATTAAGGGTTGAAAATAAAAAAGTATACAAACCTCGACGGAAAACTTCATTTCTGTCTCGAGGTTGAGTTTATCTCGACGCTTCGCGTCTCGATAAACTATAATAACCTCTCGACCAGCAATGAAGTATTTTCCGTCTCGGATTGTAATATACTATTCTTGGTGAAAAAAATCGTTTGCATTATATTAACCATTGCGCCAATTTATTAAGGATGTGGAAATGAATCTTAAATTCATTCAATTACTAACCATGATGGTGTCAAGTCAATCGTACTATGTTCTCTTGGTTGCCCTTGTGCAAAATAGTTTCTATGTACACAGACCGTACAATGTCCACAAAATGTCAATAATGCTGGACTTTTCCGCACCTAATAATACAACATCGTGGACAGAAATGCATTATGAAGTAATAGATAAGGGCCATTTAGCTGTTTTCACGACTCGTATACCGTCGTCGACGTCATTGGCGTACCTGCGTTACAAGGTGAGGCTGCATTTTCATGATGAAACTGTTGGAGATACCGAATGGAGAACTCTCATCAGAGAACCACAACAGCAAGAAGAAACATACAATAATTCCCATAAGACTCTATCAGACAACGACATCGCACCGAAATCCACTTTAAATGTAGTCATATTTATTGCCATTTGCTGCGTAATATTATTATTGAATTTAACGTACCATATTGGAAAAAGTCAATGTACCCTATGGTTTAATAAATAAATAGGTTTTAATTTGAAAAAAACCAGTGTGACTCATTTAATTCATTAAATTTCCCATAGTTAATCTGCAGTGAAAATATCCTTTTTTTCGTCAACAAAATATTAGATGCAAGTCCCAGCTTGTTATTTTCGCTAGAACGTAAATGCTTATCAGTAAAATAAACTGTGCAATATGATACCTTTGTTTATAACGCTCCGACATTAAGCGTTGTCGACTCAATGGTCTGTAACCTTGAGTTTCACGAATTTTCTTTATTTACCACTACGGCATCCTGTAATAGGACACGTCGCACAACGTACGCTAGATGGCGCCACCGACACACATTGACGTGACCATATAAGTAAAAAATGATATAACGCGTGTTTACGAAATGATAGGCGTTTGATGCAAAAATGGACGTGACCCAGGTCGCTATGACGTCATCACAGAACCATAATTTAATATACGTAGCGATTTCGAAACGACTCGGAACAATCCCTTCCACGCAAACTCCATATCACAGGAACCTGTAATTCCCCGAACCATTCCTGTCGATCAATTGCAAGAATTCACCGCAATAACCCGGTATGACGTCATCACAGGTGACAGATGACGTTTGACAAATGACGTTTGACAGGTGACGGTTGACAAGATGGCGGGAAAACGTTTCCCCCCACCCCTTTTTCTGGTACCCATAATAAAATCCGGGGGGCCCCTTTTTGGGGGGCGCAGCCCTGCGGGCCCCCTTTTTGGGGACGCGGAGCCCTACGGGTCCCAACTACAGCATCCTGTATTACAAACTTCACACTATGTACGCTAGATGGCGCCATGACGTTTGACAAGATGGCGCCGACGATGCATCCACCTTCGTGTCAACGGCGGCGCATCCACCACGTGTCAAGAATGAAAGATTGAGGTTATGGTCGGATTTTTATAGTCATACCCCTGTTGCTGTACTACTCATTATAATACAACCTCATTTTGATTTCTGTAGCAGCATACTATATGCATTTGATTTAAACAAAAAAACAGCTCTACAGAAACTGCAGAATAGGGGAATGAGAGTTATTCTCAAATGCAATAGGTACACTGGAATCCAGCTGATGTTAAATACTCTACAGTGGCTTTCAGTACAAAAAAGAATGTTTCGTAATGCTATGATTTTTATTTATAAAATATTGAATAATCTTCTACCATCATATCTTGAGGAATTTGTTGCATTCAGATATGATATACACAATCACTTAACTAGAAGTTATACAAATCGTAGTTTCCACATTCCAAGGTGCAACCTTTCAAGCACGAACAAAATGCTTTTTTATAAAGGAATAGATGATTACAACAAATTACCTCCTCTTGTTAAGGACTCTAGTTCCCTTAAATGTATTTAAAGGACTGCTGAGTGAATATATTGTAGCCATGAAACAATAATTATATTGTTTCATGATTGAATAGTGGGTAGTAACTAAATGTGATCTGGAGAAGGCTGTGTAAGATTTTTGGTTAGATTCTAATTTCCTAATTTTGAGTTATTTGTAAGTTATTTCTGTTTTTGTTAATTTTGTCTTTTAAAAAAATGTTGTTTATATTAGGGTTTCCTATTGAAAATAAATTGATTGATTGAAAAAAAAAGGGGGTGGGGCCATACAAAATATTGGAAGGTACAGGGTGTCTGGTTATAATTTGACACCCCACCTTTATAGGTAGATGATAGGTGTAAACACAAAAGTGGAGCAGTTTTAGTTAAATTATTGTCAGTTTGAAATTTTGTGTACTTTTAACTTTTTTCAAATAGAAAGCCCTATATTTGATTCTATATTCTTGAAGAGCACAATTTCCCGATTCCGAAAATATATAGTTTCTCTCAGTGGCGCACCCAGTGGCTATCGGGCCAGGATCCCCCCGTCCAGACCGCCCCACCAAAACTGTATTTTTACGTTTAAAAAATGTAGCAACATCAAGACGTGGCCCCCAGACACCTCAGATTTTTTTTTGATTTTCAGTCACAAGCCACAACCTATGTAGGGCCCTCCCCAAACATATTTTCTGGGTGCGCCACTGGTTTCTCTATATTTAGTTGAGCCGTCTCCACCATATTTGGCTTCAAAAATTCTAAAAATACTATCAGAGAGACTAGTGCCTCAAATTTTACCTGAAGCTTTCATCAGAATAGTTCACAAAATCGTCAGTAGGATAGTATTTTTCCAATTTTAAGAGCCAAATATGTTGAAGGCGGCTCAAACAAATATAGACAAACTATATATTAGAAGTAAATATAGCGCATTTCATTTAAAAAAATTGAAAGTAAGCAAAATTTCAAATTTCTTACAATAAACATACAAATAGAATAGGCTAGAGGTCCGTGATAAAATGACGCCATGAAATAAAATTCTGTTATATACGGGCCCTGGTAAACCCGGAAAAAATGGTCCATTTAATGTTGATTTTTAAAATTATTTTTTCCTATCTAGGGGGGGCCATGGCCCCTCCCTGGATGCGCGCCTGTTGCATGTGAGACTTAAAGGTCGATAGTTTTCTGGTTTGTGTCTGTTGCCATTCTCGTATAAAGATGTTACTATGGAAATTTTCCATTTTTCCGGGATTCTTCCAAGCTCCATGCACTCCTTCATCACCTCTGTGAGTCGACCACCAACTGTTTCTTTACAATTTTGAAGTAGTACTGTAGGAATTTCATCTGGTCCAGGACTTGAATATTTTTCCATTTTCATTGATGCCTCTCAAGATGCTTCTGTTATCTTTTTTTTTTTGTGAAATCTATACTATTTATTGAGTTCCCAGTGTTCCAACTACGCTACGCGTGTTGTGTGCGGAAAAGTAGCACATTCCGTACTAGTTAGGAAATATAGTATTTGATTTCCAATCGATATCTACTTTTAATTTAAGTTTGATAAATGATGAGGCAGAGACACTTTTCCTAGTGAATAGAATTAATTTTACAACTAAGTATGTACTTAACAGGGCATTGAGATTACATCTAAATTATTACTTTGTTGCAGGTTTTAAAAAGGGAGCCGATCCTGGTATGCCAGAAATTAATTTATCAAGGTAATATTAATTGTTGGTTTTAAATTATTGATATTGAGAGAAAAAGGAGGAGTGTTTCTTTCACTAAATTTTGTAGACCTTGTATTTGAATGCATGGATTACATCAAAGTTGACTGCTCGGTTGACTGCATTGACTTTACCTCCTGCATGCCAATGTAAATGAATATTCGAAAAAGCAGGGGATTGTAGAGAGTGTTCCTAAGCGTGTTAATTAATATATTGAATATGAAGAATGTATACTAATTCATCTCGTACTGCAGGCAAATGTGTATGACTGCAAGTGAATGCATGGCGATTTTGAATTATTATAAAAGTGAAATTAAATTGAGAAGCATTTGAAAATGAAAAGTCCAGCATATTTTGAAAAATTTGTTTTTGTGAATCTTAAATGGTAAAAGGTTGTAGGTATGGGCTTGAATATAATCAAAGACCCTGTCTGTACGCTACTGCATTTGACTGCACAGAATTTATAACGATTGTAAGCGACTGTATTATGATCGCATGTATTCCATTGACTGAATAAGAATGTATTGTATGGACTGCATGCATGGGGCATATTTGTATACCTACTGCATGATTGACACACTTTTACTTTTTTCACTTGAATTGTTATTTTTTTTTTTTTTTTAGCTTGTTATGGTAAAAATGTGAAACCAAAACTTAACTCTAGCCCTCACTCACTCTAGCCTTTAGAAATATAAGCAAATGGATTTTATTTTTGTGGATGTCCCGTAAAAAAAAAATGGAAAAGGATTAAACAATAACCATTCTATTAACAAGTTTATCTTCCCTAAAGTTAATAGACGTTTTTTGTTGTAAATGTTTAATTTCATTATAAATAAAACCTTTAAAATAATAAATATAAAAATCTACAAAATTAAATATATCAACATAATATAATAAAATAGAAATATAAAACAAACATAGATATAGATAGTGTTCTTATATCTGACTAGAAGACATTGAGGTATGTATATAAAATAAAAAGATCATTTGAAATTAATAAATACAAAATAAACTTATTTTTAATTAGGTAATGGCCCAATTAAGGACCGATTGAGAAGTGTTTTCTCTCTGCCGGACCATCTGTGGACGCGTTTCGCTGTATCACAGCTCATTAGCACGGTTAGGTCCCGCAGAGAGAAAACACAACCCATTTTTGGTTCCATCCCGGAACTGGGTTTGATACAAGTAAGATGAAGACAGAGTTGCAATTTTTAGTGTGCTGATCAGAAAATAGATGGAGACTCTGTCTTCATCTTACTTGTAAATAAACTTATGTTAATTTACTGCACAGAAAGTACCTATTTGTAATGCTACCTTATATTACATTAAAAATTACTGATAAATGTAGGTACAGTAGATACATAGCATTGGAGAGCAAAAATAAGAATGTGAGTGATGCTAAACTGTGTGATTTAGTTTTTATACATTTTTCCCAGTAAGTATTTGATACTTCCTCATAGGATATGTCTATGTGTATAACTTCATTATGTTCCAAGTTTTTCCTTATTTATCACAAGTAAGTATAACATGATTAAAAATATCCAGATCTATGTGGGGGTGGCAGTAACTTCCTCAACCTGTTGTGGTAATATACTATAGTTACTGTATTTATATTTACTTTTAAATTTCTTCAAGTAGAAACATGCAGCTATGGTAATGACGATAACTATTAATAGTACTAGAGCCCTGCAAAAGAAATAAATAATATATATGCAGTCTTCATAATCTAAATAAGGTTTCTTACCAGTAATACCAAACCTCAATGGTTTTCTTGCAACAAGTATTATCTCCACAACAGTATTCCGTGTTTTCGTCGCAGGTGCCAAATTCGCAATAATCGGCAAAAGTCTGAAATCAAGGGTAAGCATGGTTTTTATTTTTAAATAATATGCAACAAATTTTTAACCTTTTCAATGTGAAGAATCAAGAGACAAGCGAAAATGGTGAGATCCTTTAAATAATACATTTACGTAGAATTAGTTATTATTGTTAGAACTAAATTTGTAATTTATTTATGTAAAAATACAAGGTACAATCATTCTATTCCCCAATATCTTATTCTAGGTAGGTATACAAACAAAAACAAACTCGAATCTTCGGTACGGACAGCTGATCGCTGACTGTTGGTATTGACCATATTGGGCGTGTTTGGGTTGACGCTCGGCGGAGCGAGCAGAGCCACAGAGCGATTACGGAGTAACGTGACGTCATAGGGGGTACACCGTGTCAAGCCAAATAAACTCGTGCAAAAGTGCTGAGTTGAGCGATCAGCTGATTATTGTTTATTTTTTTAGAATATATTTTTTGGAGTCCGAGCCCGCACTCCGCATTCGCACCACAGTTTTCTCGTTTATTTTTTGTTATAGTCGATAATTTTCAAACAGCCCCATTTTCTATTGTGTTCTGCTAAAAATATCGTGCTACATAAACAATAAAATGGACCTAAACACTCTGAGGCTGCCAAGTTCCCTTGGAAAAATATGTCCAATAATGCCAGTAATGATGACTACCGAGAAAATTCAATTAAAAGTAAGCACATTTGATCTGCGCATGCACGCTCCAGCTGCCCACTCCACAAACTCGGAGTTTATCGAGCTCGCTCGGAGCGCTCAAAATATGTCAAACCAAACACAATCAAGCGTTGTCGGAGCTTCAAACATAACGGAAGAGAGACAAAAGTGCACGCTCTGAGTGCACCGATCGTCAACCCAAACGCGCCCATTAGTTAGGTTAAGAAAAATCGGGCGCGAAATTTAAAATGGGTTCCTAAACACATTTCAACAAATTTGACAGCAATGTATTTCTTATGGGGGATTCAAAAGAGTGATTTTCAGACGGGAATATCTTGGGTTCTGGGCATTTCTTAGTATTGGAACCTATTGTACATCAAACTTTGAACATATTTCTCTATAATTCATGCTCTAATTGTTTTTTTAGACCTATGAATTAAAAATACAAATGATTTTAATTAAAAGTGTCTGTTTTCGGTGGACGTACGTCGAGTCTAAAACCAGCTGAGAGAAAGTGAGGTTGTGTGTTGTGTTATGATTGTTGGTGAATTGTTTATTTATTTATTTATCACTAGTTACTAGTTCAGTCATTTATTTTTCAATTTTTTTGGATTATTGAAGTACATTTACTAACCAAGTATGTAGGTGAACTTTTATTTTATTATAATTAGGTACTCATATATTCTTATGAATCAAGCAAGGACATACGTATTTTATACAAACATCGGCTTCTTAAATTGGTAATATTTTTATTTTAACAATGTTTATTCAACTTTCAATCACTCTCTCAGTTAATTAATATATTAAAAAAACTATTTATACAACTCAATTCCGTAACAAACGTTCTATCACGACTACAGACGCTTTTAAAATTGAGTCCCCATAAGACATCAATGTATTAATTTTTGAACTAGGAACTCCAATGAACTATAGCCAAAAACTGGAATGCGCACACATTGCCATATCTGCCAAAAAAATGTAGCCATGAAAGATAGATGCCACAAAGGGGAATGTTGTTTTTTTCTGTTGCTCGCTGACATATGACCACAAAACATCCCCCCTTAGAAAGGTAAGTGCCGTGTTGAGAACCTGTCTATTACAGTGGCTAAATAAACCTTTACATACAGTGGCGACAATAGAGTTCCCGCCGCCATCTTGTTCCCAACCTCTTGTTACTTTCAAATATTAATATATAAGATTTAAATAGACATCTATCATAAAAAATTAAAATCGGCATATTTGATGACCATTATTAGGTTCATCAAATACGTTGTTTTCCATGTTTTATGATGGATGTTCACCTAAATCCTATATATTCATATTTAAAAGTAACAAGAGGTTGGGAACAAGATGGCGGCATTTTCAATATAAACATATGGGATTTTTGAACCAATCAAAAATGAGACCGCAATTGTCGCCACTGTGGTAATAAAGTCACTGTACTGTCTATAAGTTTTCAGCGCCTCTAGTGACTGGGGGGGTAAGCTTTTGTAATTCTGGATTTATTGGCGAATGCAAAACGCAATTAGGGTTCGTTCGGTATCTTATTCGTTCCGGTGGATCGTTTGCACCATTGTTTGATTCTAGCGATTCAACACCACCACTTTAAAGTTTCTACCATTTTTTGGCATAAAATAATTGTGCCAAAAAGAAGAAACTCATAAAATCGGTAGTGTTGAAGCGCCTTCAAGGTAAAATTGACTAAGAATTAAGATAATAAATTTAGATATTTATTAAAGTTTGAAACAGAAAATATTAAAGAATATGGAATTAATTACAATTTATGCGAAACAGTTTTTTTTTCATGTAAATACATACATAGGTAGGTAATGCTAGTTAAGTTAAAGATAATAAGGACAGTTATAAGAAGTAATGACGTACATTTAACAATAGCTTGATGAAAAACTTAAATCGTAAATAAAATGACAAAAGAGGTCCTTTTCTCACAATCCAAAATCGTTGTTAACCTAACAAGTGAGGAAAGTGTTTCTGCACGTGATGGAAGTTGCACGAATGACAACAAAAAGCAGAGTTCGGACAAGCCTTTAAGTCCAGAAAATACACTTTCCGCGTGTGTTAGGTAGAAAGTTTATGTAGTTATACATAATATAAAGCTCATTCAAGAAAATGATTTCGCCTGGATGATAGAATAAATATTTTTGATAATAGTCTATACCCTTTACCACTAGCTTTAAGCAAAGACAACGCCAACAACTTCTCGTTCAATGTAACTCGTCTAGCTTTAGGCTTTTGGTTTTGAGTACGGACTTGGCTTAAAATAAAGCTGTATATCAATGGATTGACGTGGTCTACGAGCCTTTGAAATTTGGTTTATGATGCAAGTTATTCAGCAGCAGAAACTTTGGATTTAAATGACGACAACCTTCTACTGATTCTTCTTAACTTATTGCTGGATTCTATAACTTTGGAATAAAGATATTTTTCCCTTGGGGATAGGAATTTTTTGCCTAGTGACGTTAATGTTCTTTAAAATTTGGCATCGTCTCTCATGACCTGCAAAAAAAAAATAGATCAAGATTGGAGACGAGCTTTTCGCACATTTAGCTTCTAATTTTTCTAGAATTCGACTGCAAGTTTTAGTAATTAGTAGTCTTTTATAGTAGTAGTCCTAGTTAGGATGTTTTAAAATTCACCTACTCCCAACTGGGTGGTTATTCATTAAGCAATAACACTTAGGTACCTACCAATAAAAGTTTTAAGAGACAAAGTTGGTTGCTGACTTTTTCATGTTTGCAGATGTGATGGTTCCACTTGGTGTAGCAATGTCTGCCCGAATTGCAGAAGTTTCAGTAGATAAAAATTGACGACATGAAGGGCCTGGTTGATCTAAAACAGAAATTTCAATGATTCTACCAAAAAAGTTTGGATACACGCATTGTAGAATATGGTGTACCTGTATGTAACCAGGAATATTTTAATTATTGTGTCTCCTGATAAAGGAATAAACATTTAAAAAAAAGAAATGAATAATATTAGCTTTGTTCCAACACAGCAGAAAACCGTACAATGTACCGTCACGATTCTGCGCAGAAACTAAAATTGTTATACTGAGTGGTTTCGAAACCGTTCATGGGACGATTTTTTGACGTGTTGGAACAGAGTTATTATGTTTACCTACCTATGTCAATCATAGTTGCGAAACTAATTTCTGAAGGCGTCTTAGGACTCTTCGACGAGTTTCAACTGTGTCGATCTCCACTTTTTGCCATTTTGGTGATTGTGGTTTATCAATTAACGACTCCTCACTGTTTTTGATAATTGGGGCTAAAATTGAAATTAATTTTAATGTTTCTGACCTATGCTCCTTTAAACCTGAATTCTAACACGTTGTCGTTAATCAGAACTATGGGGAGGAGTAAGTGAAAATGTAAGTACGTCTTTCTCACATATATATAGTATTAACTTACCTTCAGGGAGATACAGCAAAAGCGCAGCATTCCATGTGAGTCCTCGTCTGCCTTTTGGATCGCCAACAATAAATTCTCGACGAAAATGTCTTGTTCACACTCTATAATTATTATAAGCCTTCTCGACACTGAGGCTATATTTAGTAAAGGATTGCGAACTTTTTCTAGCCATTGTTTCATTTTTTCGGCATCTTTTGGAAACCGGAAATAGCTGCTGTATTTGTCGCCGCACCCCGGAACACAGCATTTCTGATGCTTTTCAATTAACAAACTGGGAGAAGACATTTTGAGATAATAATTATTGATAATTGATAGGTAATTGATAATTCTAAATGTTGGGAGAAGTTCAAAATTTAAATTTTGACGACTGGAAATGACAAAATAAACTTCAAATTTTCGCGCACGGTCCGGCAGGAAAAAGAAAACTTTGATAGGTTGATTGAAGCGCCTCTAGTGATTGGAGGGGAAAGCTGAAACGACTAGACTGACGTCTCTCATAAGACTTACATTTCTAAGGGGGGATGTTTTGTGCATATGACGTTTTGGAAAGTTTTGTCATATTTACCTTCACAGGTTTCATCAATTGGAATACGTATTGGAAGCAATTTCCGCCATTTAACATAATGAGTGCGACAAAAACAGGTATCCCCTCCGCAGCAACGGCACTAGGCTTCACTTTCGTCAATATGTGTTCGCATTCCAGTTTTTGGTTATAGTTCATTGAGGAACTCTCAAGGGCTGCGTTCAGATTGAACGTCAGGTGTCGCCCGAGCGCATTCCAACCGTTCAGATTGCTTTGGGTAAAATTTACCCAGCCGTTCAGATTGTCGGTAGATTTTTACCGGACGACGCCCGGGCGCACACTTTTGCATCCCATAAAATAGCAAGATAAAATTTGCCCCGCATGCGCGTTTGTGTTCTAACCTTAAATAATAAAGGCAAATATTGTAAATAATTATTTTTGCGAGTTATGGTGGGTTTATCTAAATTCATCGTTATCCTCATCAACTCTATTTAAAAAAAAGGTGGCCTCTTTCTTTTTTTTTGTTTAGTTTGTGATGCTAAATTGATAGCAATCACTGACACTAGCACATCCTCGTCGTCCGAAGATGAAGCGTCCTCATCATTCAATAACTCTTTAAATATGAAGATACTCTGGCT